GATAAATGCAAAAAAAAAAAAAAAAAAAAAAACTAAATTGTAATTTCAATTTAACTAAAAATATTTCCTAAATGAATTTTTATAATCATTAAAAGTTTCCAAATAAGTAGCTTAAAATAACTTACAATAATAATAGTTAAAAATAGCTATATATAAATGATTACATTGTTATCTTTAAATAAAAAGGATAAAGTTTGATGTTTTAAATAATTATAATGATATAAATTAAAAAATTAAGCAAATAAATTAAAAAAAATTAATTAACAATAACAACTATAAACAACATTAAACTATATATTAAATTTAATTTTATTCATGTGTAACTCACGGGTAGAAATCATTTAATCGATTAAGATTATGAAGTTATAATAGATGTATATGTTATTATGTAATTAAAAATAATCAATATATTATATCAATTTAATATAAAAATTATTATATCAAATTTAACAACAACTTTATTGTTATATTTAAAAAGAAAACATATATTTGTAAAGACTTCAACTATATAAGTGTTTGTGCGCAACGCGCGGGCATTCGCCTAGTTATTTGATAAACCAAACAACATCCCTGTTAAACAACAAAATCATAAAAAAAAATAATAATAATAATAATTGTTTTAATAGAATTATAAGTATTTAAGAAAGTGTTTAACAACATTTAAGAAAGGAGATGGTTACAGAATATCAAGGGGCAATCTTGATGATTTGAATATAAACCCGAAATGCAGGTCCAAGAAATCCAATTGATTGCATTACCTGATTTTTTTAATACAAAAAATAAGAAATATTAAAAAAACAATCAGGTAAAATATTAAATCTTGAATACCTTTCGGACTGTAGTCACAGACATCCCTTTGGTCAGAGGAGTGTCAACTATCCAGCCTCCAAGATTGGCTGAGAAAGCCATTATAAGCCATGTCAATACACAAAATAGCCCTGATTTTGTTAGATTAAACCCTAGGATCTGTACCATTTTTTTAACAAATTAAAAAAAAGACATAATAATCCATATATACTTCTATGATTAAACATATCCATTAAAAGAGTAACCTAGTTATAATAGGTAGGCATCTATGTGAGGAGTATAAATGTGCCCCAATTGTGACCAAAATGACAAGTGATCCCCCCCCCCCCCCCCCCAAGGAATGGTTTTAAAAGGCTCCTCAATAACTCTATTGCAAAAGATAAGTTTCTTCTTTTCAGGATGAAGTTCAGGGTCTTCAAGAGGCGAACTGTATGCCTAATAAAATTTACAATATTTGTAAAAAATAGAAAGAGAAATATAATAGAAATGAGATGAGTGATGACATATATAAAATAAGGAAGAAATAGGATCAATGTATCAGTTAGAGTATCATAAACAAATTTAAAGTGAGTAAGTTGTTATTTCATGCGTTTATACACACTTATGTACCTACCTGCCATACACATAGAAACATATACATCTACTGACCTCCCATACATACATATACTGAATACGATAAGCAATTGTATCCAAAACATATTGTCCATGAGAAAAAGCAAGTAAGTGACTTATTATTTTGAAATGGTTCATAACAAAGCACACCGGTAGAAAAGTTATTTGCATAAAAGGTATTCCCTTTAGTTTGTGTGATAGACAGTTTTTGTAATTTTCGATCAACACTGAATTGGAATAACTGAAATATAATGAAATAAAAATGCCATACATTAAATTGCAACTTTGTTTGACAAATCATGTTAAATTGGAGTGACCACAAAACTATATACAGAAGTATCAAACACCAAAGTTATCAGTCACCAGTTGATGGCTAGATCACGTGATAAATCGCATAACTTTTAGGAGTTCGCAGGCACTTAAAATTCCTCTAGACCTTATTTTTACACAAAATGTGGTTATCAAGTGATTAAACAACCAGAAGCAATTCACTCATAGTGATGGGTCACCAAAATTGTCAAAGTCTACTCTTTACTAACATAAAATATTCATTTTAATTGGAAGCATAAAAAACATAAGCAACACAACCAAATAAACTTGGCTTGTTTACCTGATCCTCTTTATGTTCTTATAACTTAGTAAATGGAATTTAATAACAAATATCCCCTTATAAAGGAAATAAAAAGGAAAAGAATATTTGAACAATTTTTTGTGGCTACAATGTATTAACCTTGACATTATATTGAGCACCTGGTAAATCAGAACTGGTAGCAACTTCCAGCGAGCTTCCATCTTCGTCTAGATAGACAAAACTAAATTTTAAAAAAAAAATGCACAACAGTTGAAAGCGTGAGATAAAAGTTTCCATGACTAAAAAATAAAAATAAAATTTTTGTCTATGAAGAACCATGTTACCTGAATAAGATTCTCAACACAAGATAAAGAGTATAAAAGTCATATTTTGTATGTAGCCATGAATTTGTCGGTGGTAATAAAGATCAATCTCCATTTTTCTCATGATGACAGAACCTCGTATCGTATTACTAAAGCTTCAGGCATGTTCTCACCTTCAATGTTTATAGCTTCATCATCAACACACTTTGACCAAATCTATGTAAATAAAAAAAATATACAAGGTAAATAATGGAAATAACAAAAAAAATTAGGTTTGTAAATAAGCAAACTATATACAACCTGAACCATAAGAAAGTATTACAAAACATTTCATTAACTGGATTCCACCTCAACATTCTTGCCAAATGATATTCCTTCTCTGACCTAGTTATATGTAAGATTGTGATTTCAGTTGCTATTTTCTACAATTTAAAATCCATTATTATTCATCATATTTGTTGCTATTACAGAATACAAAATTATCCTAACTTCATGGATGTGCTTGATAATTCCCAAACTCCAAGTGGGAATAGACATTCCGTAATCTAACATTTCCATGTGTACCCATTAAGACATTAAGATACCAAAATAAAAATAGAAAAATGTAAATAATCAACAAAACTGCAAGTTATTGTGTTAATAATGCGATATTTAAATTAATAATTTAATAATTAATACATAACAATAACATTGTTGTTAAATTTGGTATAATAATTTGTATACTAAATTGATATAATATATTGACTATTTTGAATTATATGATAATATATACATCTGTCATAACTGCATAATCTCAATCGTTTGAATGATTTCTACCAGCGAGTTATTCATGAATAAAAATAAATCTAATATATGGTTTAATGTTATTTACAGTTGTTGTTATTGTTAATTAATTTTTTAAAATTTATTTGCTTAACTTTTTAATTTCTATCATTATAATTATTTAAAATATCAAACATTGTTTTTTGATTTTAAAGGTAACAATATAATCATTAGTATAGAATTATTTTTAACTATTGTTATTATAAGTTATTTTAAGCTACTTGAAAATTTTTAACAATTGTAAAAATATCTTTAGGAAATATTTTAATTAAATTAAGATTCCAATTTAGTTTTTGCATTTAACACTACAATTTATCACTTTTAACTATTCATAATATATTCATTGGGTTTTTTAAGTGAAACTGAAATTTATATTTAAGTTGACACTGTAATGTTATACTTAAATTAACAATTTAAGTATTTTGTCAAAACTGTTCAAAAGTTGTAACTTTAAACTGATAATTGTTTATATAGAATAACATATTAAATTTAAAAATCAAATATAATATGTTAAAAGTTAAAGTCATAACTTTATAAGTAGAATTAAATATATTATTTTAATATTGAAATTTAGTTTATTTATGGTTATACTTTAGGTTTGATATTTATTTAACCTTATTAACCAAATTATAATTATTATTAAAAAGACATTACAATTTATCACTTTTAATTATTTACAAAATATTTTTTAGGTTGTTTAAGTTAAACTAAAATTTATGTTTAAGTTGACCATGTAATATGATATTTAGATTAATAATTTTAGTATTTTATACAAATTGCTCAACATTTATAGCTTTAAAATGATAATGATTTACATCCAACAATATATTAAAATTAATAAATTAAGTATAATTTGTTAAAAGTTAAAAAACATAACTTTATATGTAGAAGTAAATACATTTTTTAATATTGAAATTTAGTTTATATATGATTACACTTTAGGTTTGATATTTATTTAACCTTATTAACAAACTTATAATAATTATTAAATAGAAATTGAAAAGTCATGAGAGTTTCAAATGAATGTGGTGAAAGGAAAAATACATGAGAGTTTCAAATGAATGTGATGAAAGGAAAAATGCTTCCTTTATAGTATAGTATGATATGATATGATATGGTATGATATGATATGATGATATGATATGATATGTTATGATATATATATATATATATATATATATATATATATATATATATATATATATATATATATATATATATATATCTTGACTCTATATAGGATATAGATCCGGTAAGATTTTTTTTTTTTGTAGGAAGTAAGAAGTTTTTTTTTTCTAAATATTTTTTTGACGAACAAAAAAAAAATGAATCACTAGATGATAAAATTTGTAAGATGATTCACAACAAAAAATTCCCAAAAAAACATCTTTATGATTCATTTTTAAGTAAATTAAGAAAAAATTCACTTTTATGATAATTTTAATGAATAACAACAAAATCATTTTATAAATGAATCATCGAGATGTTTTTTTTTGACAATTTTTTCTTGTAAATCATCTTACAAATGAATCATCTAATGATTCATTTTGTTTGTTCGCGAAAAAAATATGTAGAAAAAAAACTTTTTACCTTCCTACCTAAAATTTCCTTCTTAGTTGATCTTGACTATATATATATATATATATATATATATATATATATATATATATATATATATATATATATATATATATATATATATATAAGGAAAAGTGAATATAATTACAGCCTACCTAAGCTTAAGTACTAAACCTCATGAAAATACATTGTTTTACTATATAAAGATTGTGATTAGGGATTCACGATTAACACTTGAAGATGTTGATTCATGATGTACATAATAGTTTTGATAAGGAAGCAAAAAAATGATTATCTTCGACCTTCGTGTCGATGGAAACAATACTGTTCACCAGGGTGAAGTAATAAACGATAATGGAACAAAGAAATGTTATTGGGGCCGATGTATTTACTAAGTGAAAACCAAATCGAGTATAATTACTAAGTCAAAACGATATATTTTAAATGTTTAGTATCTAAGCTTAGGTGGGGCTGTAATGTATATTTCCTATCCCCGTATATATATATATATATATATATATATATATATATATATATATATATATATATATATATATATATATATATATATATATATATATGGGAAAAGTGAATATACCCGTAAGTGTATATAAGCTTAGGTACCCAAACTCACCATACTACGTCGTTTTATATCATATATATATATATATATATATATATATATATATATATATATATATATATATATATATATATACATTGTAATTGTCTAATGTTCTTATAATTCAACTTCTAACTTGATTTCTTTCAAAGATTTTTATAAATTTCACATTTATTTTTCTCTTACATAATTTTCATTTTTGACTATAATATATATAGCCTAATTGATGTTCGTCAAAAAAATATGATGTAAGAGGAAGATAATAATAAAATCTTGAAAATCTTGAAAGTAAATCAAGTTAAGGATTGAAGTTGAAGAACATTATAATAAATATATCAAACAAAATGACGTATTATGGTGCGTTTGAGTACCTAAGTTTATATACCCTTAAGGGTATATTCACTATTCCCTATATATATATATATATATATATATATATATATATATATATATATATATATATATATATATATATATATATATATATATATATATGGTCCGGTTCCTATGAGAACTCATTTTAAAGTTAGGACTCGTGAGGAAACCTTAAAAGATTGAAATTTTTTTCAAAAAAATACAAATTATAAAATCGAGCATAGATCTATGTCCGGAAGAAAAAAAATTGGAAAAAAAATTTGCATCATTAAAATTGATTCATGATTCAATTTTAATTTTTTATTTTGCATCATTTTGACCCATGATTCAATTTTAATATTTAATTTTTTTTCCAATTTTTTTCATCCGGACATAGATCTGTGCTTGATTTTATGATTTATATTTTTTTATCAATTTTTTTAATATGTACTTACGAGTCCGTACTTTAACATGAGTCCCCACCCATATATATATATATATATATATATATATATATATATATATATATATATATATATATTACAACCCCATCTAAAGTTTAGGTACTAATCCTTTAGAATGTATCATTTTAACTTAATAAATATATCTCGTTTGGTTTTCACTTTGTAAATATAACATCCCGTTTAATATTTTTTTCCCTACATTATCGTATGGTCATCCCTGCTTTTTTACTTTCATTATCGTTTATTACTTACCCAATGAACATTAATTTTTTCCACGGTAATGAAGGTCAACAATAATCAATATTTTTCCTTCCTTATCACAATTATTGTGTTAATCCTGAATCTGTACATTCAAGTGTTAATCGGGAATCTACTTACCATAATTTTTAGATAATAAAATGATATATTTTCATGAAATTTAATATCTAAGTTTAGGTGTTCTGTAATATATATATATATATATATATATATATATATATATATATATATATATATAATACTTTAACTTTATTAAAAAAAATTAAATTTTAATATTATTAAATATATGTTTTAACAAATTAAAATAAAAATAAAAATTTTGGTGTCCTGTAGTGGTTGGAGGAATAATGAGTTGTGGCAAGGCCATTTAGACGGTGATTTTAGAGCATCCTTTGTTTATTTATTTACTATTTATTTATTTTGTTTCTTGTTTTATTGATTTATGTATGTATTTTTTTATAGCCGACCGGTCGGCTCTTTTCGACCGATAAACATGGTTAGGGCAACACAATTTTCGCAATCAGCATCGGCCTCTATTTTCTCTCAGAATATCATATTCTGTGTAAAAGAATTAGTTCCTGAAGTCGAGTCCGCTGCTTCAATCTCTGTAAAGTATTTAATTACACCCATTTTAACTAACATTTATCTCTCTGTTTTTCATTTCTGTTCGCATTAATGTAACTAAAGAATCTGGTGGATGATGCTGTTTTGATTATCTATCTAATTTCTAATTTCACCATGAAGCTTGCATAACGGTGATTAATTGGTACGAAACACTCCATTTTGGAGTGAAGTTGATCAGATTTGAATCTCACAGGTGGGCGGCCTGTTAAAAAAGCATCTTTTTTTATTAAAAAAAGACGAACGATTCAACTCCAACCTGACTTTTGATTTTTTACCTTTTTTGTGCACTTTTTGGTTGACCCTAAAATTAAAATCTTATTCCGCATTTAGTTATTTATCGGTAAATATGTTTGACCCATTTGGCGATGGAAAGGAATCTCAATCCTCCACCTCCTCCTCTGTTGAATGGTCACAACCATGCCATCACTTTGAATTTCCTGAGATTTTGTTAGCAACCGATAACTTTGATGAATCATTAGTAATCGGGCAAGGGGGTTTTGGAAAAGTTTACAAAGGAAATGTTATCATTGGATCTAGTCTTGTCGTTGCTGCCATTAAACGGTTGGATTCCATGTCCACCCAAGGGGAAGAAGAATTCTGGGCTGAAGTTCAGATGCTTTCCAAGTTGCGTCACTGTCATCTGGTGTCTTTATTTGGTTATTGCAATTATAAAGAAGAAAAGATCCTCGTGTATGAATACATGCCCAATGGAACACTGGAAAACCACATCCACAAACTTCAAACCCCTCTTTCATGGGTTCAACGACTCAAGATATGCATAGGTGCTGCTCGTGGGTTAGACTACCTACACACTGGCACCGGGATTGAGTCGGGTGTTATACATCGTGATGTCAAGAGCTCCAATATCTTATTACATGAAAGCTGGGCAGCTAAAATTTCAGATTTTGGATTGTCTAAAATAGGCCCAACAAATCAGCCGTCTACTTATGTCAACACACTTGTAAAAGGAACTTTTGGGTATTTCGATCCAAATTATTTCACAACTGGAAAGCTAACTAGGAAGTCCGATGTGTACGCTTTTGGTGTGGTACTGTTGGAAATACTATGTCGGAAGCGGGCAGTGGATAGAAGTCTTGATGAGGAGCAATGGGGTTTAGTGACGTGGGCTCAAGATTCTATCAAAGAGGGGAATCTAAAGAATATAATTGATTATGATATAAGGGGTCAAATATCAACAAAATGTTTGAAAGAGTTTGTTCAAATTGTAGAGAGATGTTTGCTCAACAATCCAAAACATCGCCCCACAATGGCCGAGGTTGTGGTCAGTCTTGATTCTATACTGACCTTACAAGAGAAAAGCAATAGTTCCTTGCAGGCTGCCGGCAAAACAATATTTGGAAGAATGCTTGATAGGTTTGCCTCCCCCTCCAATAGAGAGAACTCTGGTACTTCAAGCTCCTTTTGACTATATATACATATTTGTTATATTTGTGTGCATCCATTTGCATATATTAGAAAAGAATTAATGAAAATATAAGAATGTCATCTCAATGGCAAAATACATTAGTACATTACAAATGTGTTAAATTCTCTTGGTCATGATGTAAATGGAAAGAAGAACCACTCCAAGATGCGTGTTGGTGGGAAAGTTAAAGTAATACAGATTAAATAATTTGTTTGTGTTCATTCATTTCAGCCCATGGTGATTCAAAGTTATCAAGTAATAGCAAGTCTAAGAGTAGAAATGCTGGTGATACTATGGAGGCTAACAATTCCATAATTCATGTTCCAAGTTTGAAACTGTTTAAGTTTGCTGATTTAAAAAGGGCAACAAGAAACTTTAATCAAGATTTGCTCTTGGGTAATGGAGGTTTTGGACATATATTCTTGTGTTGGGTTGACAAGAACACATTTGCACCTTCAACAAAGGGGCTTGGGATTGCTATTGTAGTTAAAAGATACAACAAAGCTCGTCGACCTAGCCATGTAAGTATCAATAAATATACATAAGTGTTTTTTCTCCTGTCACATGATTTCATCGTGAGTTTACTCGTTCATATGATATGGATGATGGATATTTTGTTTTCATTATGGTTGATGTTTCCGGTGTAGAGTTTCTCACACATGGTCTAAATGATCCTCAAACTAAAGATCTGGTGTTCTTTCCAAACCAATATCTTTCTCTTTATCCATAATATGTGATTCTAGAACATAACCTTATTAACAATAGATGTAAATGAACATGGCATTTGAACCATTTGAAATGACACTTATGAAAAATGTTTCTGTTAAGAAGTGAGAGCTGAGCATTTGTTAAAAATGTTATGATTAAGCTGGAATTAAAGTTAGTACTATCTTAATATTTATATCTATGTTTAATGTTGTGAATACAACTGAGGAGTCTTTTTTTTTCATTGAACAATACTAGACTTTTTTGTTTTATAAATCTTTTTGCTTAATGTAACTAAATTTTTTTGTGACATCAGAGTGTGATAACCGTTTTAGGATCGTTGGCTCATCCAAATATTATTAGTCTCTTGGGATATTGTGATGATAAGAAAGATGGATGCTTGCTTGTTTACGAGTACATGGATAACCGAAATTTGCGTCACTTCTTATACGAAGGTAATTAATATACTCGAATCTCTCTGAAAAACTATTATTGGATTATCTTACTCAAAACTTGAGTTGTTGCAATGATGTTTCTGAAGTGACAAATAATTTTACAATGCACTAGGTTCATCCCAGCCACTTTCATGGGGAAAAAGACTAAATATAATGATAGGAGTAGCACGAGCACTTGCTTTTATGCATTCGTCAAAAGATCAAGTCATACACCGTGATGTGAAACCTTCTAATATATTACTGGATCAGGTAGTCATAATCGAATTAAGATTTTTGTTTTTATGCCATTAAAGTTAACCATTAATTTTGATTCTTTCTCATTTCAGGATTTTAATGCAAAACTAGGGGGTTTTGAGCTCGCAAGAGTTGGCCATGATAGTGAGACAACAGATATTACTACATCTGTTGCTGGCACCTTTGGTTATGTAGACCCAGAGTATGCAATAACCTGTACGTTACAACTTAGCAACGTGATATTTAAATACAACTTTTATGATTGTTTTTGTTTTTACGAATGGATCATTATTGCTGAGCATAAGAATTTATTATGGAGGGTAAATATGAAGAAATACCTTCTATGTTGTTTCAGGCCGCTTGAGTGCGGGGAGTGATGTGTATAGTTTTGGAGTTGTGTTGCTGGAAACCTTAACAGGCAAAGATGCATTGAACAATAACATAAAGGGATACGGTGATCAGGTGAGTTTGGTAGAATGGGCAAGACTACTACTAGTGGACAGAAGCGAGTTAGAAAAAATAATGGATCCAAGTCTTCAACAAAATTACCCTATAGAAGGTGCTTTCGAATTCGCCACACTTGCATTAAGATGTGTATCGAGTAATCGTAAGGATAGGCCTTCAAGTGAACAAGTTTTGCGGAGCTTGGAACAAATATATGATGATAACAAACAATTGATAAAAGATATGATGTAGTACTTGGATTTGTGGTGTATAATGGATGTATACTAAACGAAATTAGGTTTTGTTTGCCCGTGGGTTCCTATTTATTATGGTAAATTTCATTTTTCTGCTTTTACTTTTCTTATTTTGCACAATGTAATAAGTGTTTACATCTCCATTATAAATGCCAAGTTTCAACAGCCAATCACCATCCCATGCTGGTCCCAAAATGGTTATAATGAATTTCATACTATTACTTTGTGAATAGAAATCCTTATAGGTGATTATTTTTTTGCAAATTAAGGATAACGAGTAGTTGTATTTTTGGAAGGATAGTGATATGCATACTTGCTTAATAAATGAATGTTTTTGTGGTTATTTTGAGTTAATTTTTTTTACATGTCAATTTATGAGGGTTTTTTATTTATTTATTATTTTTTTTTACCACTTATCACACTTTTATTGAATTCGCCAAATGTCATTTTGTGGTTATTTTGAGTTATTTTTTTTTTACATGTCAATTTATGAGGTTTTTTATTTTATTAAATTGCACATATTTTAATATAATAATTACAATAAATATAGCAATAAATTGAACTTTTAATTTCAAAATTCTTAAAATTAAAGCTCATTAGTTTCTTTTCTTTATATATCTTTTTAAATTTAAAAGGCAAAAAACATTTTCATTATAATAATTCATTATTTATTTTTTATTTTTTATAAATTTAAAGTTGTTAAATATTTTGACATTTATATTTAACTTTTAAAAAAAAAATTAAAAAAATTAACTAATGCAATACATGGGTCTCAAAATTAGTTCTAAATAAATTAAGACAATCGACACATCAGAGAAATCTACATTGAATTATAATTATGGGAATACATGAAAAGCTTGGATGCTTGATATGGTTCACTATTTAGCATGTTGAAAAATAAATAGCAATGCATCAAACACTTTGAAATTGCACACAATTATTCATTGGCATGGATTATGTTCTTAATTGGTAAACTGCAAATTTGGGCCCTATCGCTTTTGCTAAAAACTAATTTGGTCCTTTGGCTTTCGCAAAAAAACTATGGATGTAAACCCTATGTTTGAAATTTTGGCCCATGAATGTTATTCAAATCTATCTAGCTATTAGTAACTTTAAAGTGACCACTTTGTCCAAGTTATACACTATTTGTTTGGGTTTTGTCCCAAGGACAGAATTTCTTTGGGTTTTTTCCCACAGTCAGAATGATCTTTTAAGGATTAAGGGATCAAAATCATTATGAAACATTAATCAAAGGGAATTGATTTGTACACAACATTTTTTCTCCGCACACAACAATTTGTGCTTTAAAGTGTTGTATTGTACAACTTTATAATGCATAAATTGTTGTGTACGGCAAAAAATTGTTGTGTACGAATCACTTCCCTTAATCAAAATTGCTAAGTGATTCCTTTAGAAACTACAAACGAAAAAACTACTAAACTCATAAACAAAAAATGCAATATATTCTAGAGTCTAGACTATGTTACAACTTTCGTCCCCGTGCGCTTTCAAGAGCTACAAAGTACATTGCCATTTGGTACGTTTTCCACATTCAGGTGGTAAATGCAGTAAATAGCAATGTACCTCCATTTTTTTTTTTTTTTTTTTGTATTTTGTATTTTTTTTTTAAATTTGTTTAATGAAACTAACTACATTGTCATTACGTTCATCATCTATTTTTAGGAGTTAAATGCCCTAATGGAAATATACCTTGAATTTACACCTATTTTTTTAGGTTCATCATCTATTTTTACGAGTTAAATGCCTTAAATAGCAATGTACTTTAAATTTAAATCTATCTATTTATTTATTTATTTTTTGCAATTACTTTTACGTTCTTTACCAAAAAAACAAAGTGCAATGCCATTTGGTGCATTTTCCATATTTAGTTGGAAAATATATTGAATAGCAATGTACTTCCAATTTACATGTTTTTTTTTTCTTTGTTTTGATTTTTTTTTTCCAAAAAAAAAAAACTAAACTAATTCTCACCCCATAAGGAAGGGTTCTTCTCTAGTTAATTTGTAATAGTCTAATATAAAAAAAAAATTGTACATAAAAATTGTAAGGATTGTTTTTTCATTCTAATTTTATTTTTGTTTTTTTATATTTATTTTAATATGTTTTAATTTAAAAATAAATAATAATAAATAGATTTAAGCATCTCTCTCTCTCTCTCTCTCTCTCTCTCTCTAAATCATCTTCTTTATCACATATTCTCACTTCTACAATAAACCTACACACACACTTCAACATAGATACACACTGAAATTAAGAAAAAACACACACAATTGACCTCCAACTCCAACACGTACATAAACCTCACACACACATTCTTTGAAAATTTTAAACACTCAAACACATGCACATAATTAGAAACACACACTTTAACGAGGGTACAAACTGATATCTATAAGGCTAATAGATAATCAGAGCCCCAAGTTATTTTGTTATCCATTAAGTACCCCATTTCCATTACTTTCCCTAGACATAAAAGAAAGAAAAAAGTTATTTTGTTATCCATTAAGTACTCGGCTTCCATTAGTTTCCACATAAAAGAAAGAAAGCATGTTGTATCCTCTATCATAGGAGTTTTACACTTCCAAATAAAAAAAGCATCTGCACAACATCGTTGATTGATTCTATCCTAAGCATATTATAACCCGACAAGAAACATGTAATAGGGATAAGTAAAACATTCTTAGAATATAAAATCTTAGTTATATATAACCATTGAAACATCCAAAAATATGGTCCCAAAAATTTTAAATTTTAATAATAGATAAAGTAGTAATTCCAATATAATCCATTCATTTCAAATTAAAACCAATATATCAATTGTCATGAAATCAGAGTAAAACATCATGTGCGGAATCCCAATGGTGTGTGTGATGCAGTCATCCAGAGATGTTCCCATTGGAACAAGAAGCACCTGAAACATAAATTGAAAACCGTAAGCACAAAGCTTAGTGAGTTCCCCCATAATACCGCATACCATACATATCAAGAAATAACAAGATATGGGCCCCACCCACACTCTAATAATAGTGAGATACGGGCTCCACCTACACTCGGATAACGGGCCCCACTCACACTCATATAAAGGGTCCCACCTAATAGTCATTCATATACAAGCACATACACGCATCACACTGACAAAAAGTATAACAACATGATCAAACAAGGGTCGACCTTGGTGCCTTAGACCTGTAAAACCTGGTGAGGAAACTCACCTCGAAAGTTGGATGATAACTGTATAAATCTTAGCCTCGGAAATTAGCTCTACTCAATCCTTAAACAGAAACAATTCTTTAGATACCGATCAATATTTCAAAACCTATAAAAGGTCAAAATTGGTCAAAGTTAAAGTCAAAGTCAATGTTTCGAGTTGACTCAACTCGCCGAGTTTCCTCATTAATCAACAAGATTGTGAGAAACCGGTCCAACTCGCTGAGTTTCCCCTATAGCCAACAGAATCAGGAAAAGTCGATCAAACTTGCCGAGTTCACTTATTAACTCGTCGAGTTCTTCAGGAAACACACCTCTTAATTTATTAAGTCACCATTCTCAAAACTAAGAGGCCCACTACTCAGATATTGACTACAAAATCGACTTAGAAGGGTAAAGTTTCCAACTTTACCCTTAAGGACCATCCTAATGGGTATAGAACCTAAATCCTAAGATTAAAAGGTTAAGGTTCAACAATAAGCACTTATTCACCAAGACAATACCCCAAAATACATATATGGTCCTTAAAGGCTGCAATAACACGTAAAGTTTCCAACTTTACTCTCAAGTATTCTTAGAAGAGGCTCAAATGTCCAAAAGAAGTCATATGATGGACTTAAGGCATGCATGGAGATCTTAAGACCATAAAGTTGGCACCTTTATGCCAAAAGATTTCAAAAGGCCCACAGATCCGGAAAGATAGCACTTAGGATGACCTTGAACCCCACCAATCACCAAAACATGGCTAAAAGCCTCAAAACTAACTCAAAAAGAGATCTAATCCAATATTGAGCAAGGTTAGAACTCTATACCAGAAATATGTTGGAAATGATGCAAAAAATCGAGATCTTGAAGGCTCCTACTTGAATCACCACCTGCACCAAGTTTCTCTTTCTTCCAAGGCTTCAAACATACCACACCACACTAAAAAATGGCTTTAGGGTTCGAGATTAAGGTTAGGGACTATGGAGGCTGGGAATAAGACCAACACCTGGGACTTAAGGTGTTTAAATAGGGTCCAAAACCCTAAGATTAGGGTTTCCTACTAAGCGGCTAACTCGTCAAGTTGAGACTCCCCAACTCGTCGAGTTGCCTCAAGTAAACCCGCGACCAAAACAAGTTTAACACTTTGAGTTGGGGCTTCCAACTAGACAAGTTCTTTAGGAAAAATCCAAAAATTGAATTAAATTTATACCAAAATTAAGGCATTATAAATCTCCCACACTTGAATCAAACTTCATCCTCGAAGTCCGCCGTCTCGAATAATCCTGGACAATGCTCCCTCATCTCCTCCTCGGGCTCCCAAGTCCACTTCGACCCCTTGCGGTGCAGCCACTACACCTTCACAAGCTCAACCACCTTATTCCTCAAGGTTTTTGTCTTTCTATCCAAAATTGCCACTGGCTTCTCAACATAATTCAGATGGTTATCCACCTGAATATCCTCCAAGGGTAAAACTACAGAATCATCCACCAAGCACTTCTGCAACTGAGAGTCGTGGAAAGTTCTATGAATATTGTTGAGCACAGCTGGAAGATCTAAACGATACACAAATCGGCCCACCCGACCCAAAACCCTGAAAGGACTGATATCTATGGGGCCCAACTTGCCTCACTTCCTGAACCAGATGACACCTTTCTAAGGTGAAACCTTCAGGAGAATCATAGGGAACTCTAAATTTTACCGGAGTTTGTTGTCACAACTAGCAATTTTAGCTAGGAAATTATGTACTCCTGTTAGCATCATCAGTTGTGATACATGTAATTCTTACTAATATCAAACATTATGCTAAACCAATAACAACAAATTCAATCAAGGTTCATCCAGTAAAAGTTCAAAGCTTTATACAAAACGTTTCAAATAGTCAACTAGGAATTTGAAAACCCTAAGAATCCTAGTTTCAGTATGGACTAGGATTTTCTTATTGGGCCTAATGGACC